CATCGGAAATCGACGCGAAAAAATCGCTCAAGTGTGCGCACGTTTGCGGATTCGAAGTTAACAGCCGAATTCGCAACGTATTCGCAACGATGGAATCGCGCTAATGTGCGCTTCGCTTAACTGATACAAGTGAGGATTTAGTACGCGATCAGGATACATTCTTTGTTGATGCCCAAACTCAAACAGACGACTCTTTAGAATGCACGTTGCGAACTGAAATATTTCGGCTACCGAAATAATTAAACCATGCAAGCAAGTATGGAAGAGCTTAAATTAAAACCGCTCGAAGCAAGGTCTTTAATGGAAAACTGTTTCGCATGAAAAAAATTTAATTTCAAAATTGTTAGAGTTAAGCTCACATATAAAATTGGTAAAAAATGTAAAATCATACTTTTATAAGTGTCGAATAATGTTTAGGATAAAAAATTTAAATATAAAAATAAACGCACAAAAGCATAAAACTTGGGCCATTAAAAACAAGAAAATTGCTAAAACGATTTTATAAACAATTTTTTTTATTTTATTGACGAAATATATGTGATATAAGTAATGTAAGTAATGTAAGTAAAACAAAACTATAATTGAAATAAAAGCCTTGGGCATCAGTGCTGATAAGATACATGCATCACTAAGGGTTAATTCGTTTGATTATACTTTTTGACATTATAGTACCTTAAAAGAGAGCCGCACTGAGTTGTCAATCACACCTTGTTTAATACACCTTGGTTAGAACCCATCTGGGACTTACCTGACATCACTGATGTTAATTTTGACTTAGTAAATTCTTCTGCCAAGCGTTATACAAGGTCAGCGCTAAAATTACCGATGACAGTTATGTTTTAGGTGGATTTTTATATCAGTCTCATTTTTGTGAAAAGTGCAGATAGAGGGTATTGAATATAAGCCCTCGATGTGCTCTTTTCTGACTCTTTTTAATGAGGATTACAACTCAGAATTCCCAGACTTTTTTGACTTTAAAATGATACCGAATGTTTACAAGGTACATTCATGTAATTAAACCCAGAAAAAAAAGAAAATGATTTTATTTCATATGGACTAATAGGCTACATAGACAGTGCGTCTGACTCGCAAGTCATTTGTGTACGTGTTGACTCGCCTTCGACTACACACAGTTGAATCATTCAGAGTCACAAACACATCCACACCGACTCACGAGTCAGACGGACGGTGTGTGTCGCCTATAAGAGCATAGCTGACTGCTTTAAAAAATCTTGCCACTCCTTAAGATCTACTTTGGTCGCGCGCTCTGCTACGTTATGATTCATTTCTAGTGGATCCTGTACGACCATAGCTGTATTTAGTTGTATGCCAGAATCTTTGGCAGAATCCTCGCTCTTTACAAAATTGGTATATCTGCAAAACAAATTATTAATTACAAGCTTTTGCTAAATGCATTAAAATTACCGTTCTGGCATTAGGCTTTCAAAATTTTTAATTTTTATATGTGTACGTCCAAAATAGGGACATACTACATGCGATTCATAATTGAAATTGGCATAATATATACAAAATTCTTTAATGTGCTGCTTGCAACTCGGTGGGCTGACGCTTAATACTTGCATGTTCAATTCAGTTAAGGGAATCTCAATAAAGTTGCCAATCCATGCTGTAATATAAAAAATATATACATATGTATACATAGTAAATTGAAAGCATGTTTAAGAGATAAACGTGCGTTTCACATATTATTTGTGTTAACTTACGTCCAACTAAAACATTGGCCAACATATTCTTTTGCAGAGTCTCAATTGAGGGCAAAAAATTGTTGATCTGTAAATAGTAAATTACCATCAACGACATACAGTAAGTAGTTATATGCCTATTTAATCTTGTGCGCTCTAGCCATTTTTTCATGAATATGCACAATCGTCGAGCTAAAAAAATTGAATTGGTAATAATTTACAACTTGTATTCGTGATATTTTCAAACCAATAATAATTTTCGAACCTATAGGCTGTTGTTGGTAAATATATTCAAGCATTTGCGTATTGCAATAACTTATGCTGTTGGAAAAGCCCACATCACATTCTATATTAGTCCTAGTGTTAGTCATCCTTAGTATGGGTACACGTGCACCTCTAATAGCACGATTCATGCACCAATCTATAGCATTCTTTTTAAAAATGTCATGAACTCGGTCGAAGATTTTCAGCGTCTCTGCTGAGGCACCATGCTCGAATTCATTGAAACGGCCACCTAAATGAAAAGAAATTTTATTTGTTATACATACACATCACACAAAAAGTAAGATTTTTCCTACCGATATCAACGTATATATCAAGATCCGAATTTCGTGTGCCAATACCAGTTATTCGCGATCCGAATTTATACATTTTGATGCTTTTATCGGGAAACACTTTCTTAAGCATATCCGACAGCGAATTCTCTATAATGTCATATTCCGGCACTTGTTTTAATTTTTCTGCCACTTGCAATTGATCGGCGAAAAATTTTGCGAAATCGCTCATAACAATCGCTTTCGCTTCTAATATGTTTACAGAAAGGTTAAACAAAGAACTTTATTTACATAAATAAACATAATGCATCATGATAAATAAAGAGTAAATGAAACTTAGATATGCTTACTTTTTGGCAATTTGATTAGCTTGCTTTCGCTTCGAATTTTTTCAGCTTGCTTCTTTTCTTTTTTTACTTCCTTAGCAGTCTTAACTCGGTGACCCTCTGCCAAATGAATCGCGGCCTTGTCAACCGTCTTGCCCAGATCCTTCTTGCACAAGGTGCAATGGTAAAAGTTTTGTATTGCGGCCAACTCTTTGGGTTGCACAAACTTAGTTTTATCCGTTGCCGCTATTAAGGCAGGTTTTTGATCTAAGAATTTTTCTATTCCAATCACCACATTTGTTAACGAATCATACAGATTAGGATCAATTTGGTTATAAATTTTGCCGTACGCTTCCAAGGAGTTGAGGAATAGTTGGGACTCCAGAGTTAAAGGATGCAACTGATAGATGGGCAAAACATGTTAACGTGGCCCCATTTATGTATATACCCTAATCTGGCTACTTACATAAAGTTGTTCTACTGACGCCGCCATTTTCAATGTAAAATGAATTTCTGCAACTTGCCGACGAGGAAAGTTGTTAAAGGGTAAGTAATCTTTATACAAGCAATAAAAAATCGAACAAAATGCACAAACCCAACCAAAAAAAGAAAACAAATAAACTGGCTTTTAGGAATAGGCTTGGGTAACACTGCGCTGCGCGGCGCAATTACGGTAACACCGTAGCCGGAATCGCCGCGCCAACACCAGTATATGGAAAGCGCCAGCGCCATTAACACCAAGCAACACATGAGGCACCAACACAATTCGCTTTTGAAAATTTACACGTACTTTGTTTTTGCTTTTGAGCGTTGAGAACGCAAATTTAAAGCTTTTACTCAAGAATGATGGGAATATCGTGCCATTTACTACATTCCTATCAATTAAATTTGGTTGGCGGTACAAGCGTTGCTCAGCGCCGAAAATTATAGAAATAATAGACATGACACCACTGTATGGTGTACTACACTGTATGACGATGGGTACTGTAGTGACACTCAGATGGCACCGTGTTCAATTCAGTACACTGCACTATTGCGCTGAGTAAGTGCGCTGACACCACAGGTGGCGCTGGCGTTATTAAGCTAGCGCCAAAAAAATTGCGCTATTACCCATGGCTATATAGGTATGAGAAACTATGCGCTACACGGCGCAATTGCGATCATGGTTGCAACACAATCCCCCCTAAACGAAAGAGGATTGACACCGCTTTATAAAAAGTCACCCCTTCCCCCCAACCCCTCCCACAGACCACTGGGGAGCTGTTTGAAAATAGGGGAAATTTCGATTTATTGCAAGGAAAAAACCAAGTTAAACTTGCGTCCGAAGAAGGGGGCCTGAACACCTTTTGCAGAGAACACCTTTCTGCGTAGGCGGCCTTCGGCCGCGCTTAGGGATTATAACCCTTACTACGTAGAATTCTCCTTTCTGTGTGACCTTGGGAAAGGATGAGGTAACTAGAATTCCCTTTCTGTATGGTAAACCTGGGGCTGCCGCCCCAGTGATGTCTATTTTGGTTACTGGGTATTTTATAAAAATATCTTGTATATAAAAATGTATATACAAATTTATAACAAATTTTTGCACCAAATACCATATTTCCACCGACATTGTTGTTAAATTAGTGCACAGCTTTAGTAAATTAAATTTTTGTAGTAATGCGTGAACTGTTGTCTACAAGTGTGTGTAAAAGTTTTTTGATTCGATTCACGCGTTTGGGCACATCAACCCAAAATCGTTGTACAAATTCATAAACAGTGCCCAATTATCAAGATTGAAAATGCCATTAACAATTATAATATTTTTTTTTTTTACTAGAAAATATTTTGCTATCAATTAATTACTGCATGCATCTCATTTTCGTTGTTGGTGTTTCCGACAGGGTAGGTGTATGGTGTAATGTGGAACGATTTTCCATCATCCCTTGTCAAATTAGGTTTGGTGACAAATCGGTTTCGGCGTTGTGCCATTTTCAGTATCGTTTTTCGTTAGGAATGTGCCGTTATTTGGACCTGCAACTCACGGAATAATGGCACCGGTACACAAAAAAAAAGTTGCGGGTGCTTTTAACCATCCATTTAACGGGGAAACTTTCCATTATGGCCGTTCGTTAAAGGTGTGGCGGTCGAAGGGGGAGTGGGCGTGGCACCTCCAACCGACCTTTTTGGAGAGGGCATGAACCGCCATTGACAAAAATGCAACCCCCGACCACCTAGGCTCCCTATGGTTCCCTACGGACCCCTTAGAAAAATTGCCAAAAATCGAAATTTTTACTTGCGTCCACAGTATTTTTGCGTAGGCGGCCTTCGGCAGCGCTTAGGGATTACAACCCTTACTAAGTAGAATTCTCCTTTCTGTGTGACCAAACTGGGGCTACCGCCCCAGTGATGTAACCTTGGGAAAGGATGAGGTAACTAGAACTCGCTTTCTGTGTTGTAAACCTGGGGCTGCCGCCCCAGTGATGTCTATTTTGTTTACTGGGTGTTTTATAAAAATGTCTTGTATATAAAAATGTATTGTGCAAATTAATATTTAACATTTTTTATGCGAATAAACGCAAATGAAAATTGTGATTTTTGGCAATTTTTCTAAGGGGTCCCTATTGAACCATAGGGGACCTAGGTGGTGGGGGGTTGCATTTTTGTCAATGGCGGTTCAATCCCTCTCCAAAATGGTGGATTAGAGGTGCCACGCCCACTTACCTTTAGCCCATCGCCCCTTTAACGAACGGTCATAAAGGAAAGCCAACCCCATTTAACTCGTACAAAATTTCGAGTAAATTGCGAAAATTGGAAAATTTTTGTTGCTATTTTTTCGGTTTTTCATAATTTAGTGTACGTGTCAAACGGACCTCAGATTCGGATTCAGGGGGTCGAAATACATGTCAGTAGGTGGGTCTAGTACATGATGCAATAATACAAGGTGTAATCAGTTGGCAACTTCTCGCTCTAATTCCGCCATATTGACTGCCTTAGCTGAAACAGTGTTACTTCTTTACCAATTCTTTGCCTAATAATATATTTGAGTTTTTTTATTTTTTCTCAGTATACACATTTGGTTTTCTCAAAAAGGTATTATATGTTATTTTATTTCATTTCATTGCGAATATATTATAAAAAAAACAAATTTTGTTTAGAAGAAAATATGAAATTTTATGATGTATTTTGGAACGAATTTCCGTCATCCCTTGTCAAATTTGGTTTGGAAACAAACCGGTTTCGGCGTTGTGCCATCTTCAGTGTCATTTTTCGTCCTCGAGAACGCCGAAACCGGTTTGAAATCGTCCGATTCAGCTGGAACAAAAATGATTCCAACAAGTAAGGGTTTCTCTGCATTATGGCCTCGAACCGAGATATATACATCTTTCATTTGAATCCGTATTAAAACCTCTATTGGCTCCTACATTCGGGTGTTTATAGGCGAGTCTGCCCTGAACCGTTTTTTCCATATTTTTTGGCCTATGCGCGCTTTTATTCGAAACCTAAATGTTTCGTACCAAGTATCGAGAGTATTGGATACTTTTTAAATCGGTACCGAGTATCGATCAATACTTAAAAGTATTGACTCAGCACATCGCTAGAAACAGGCAACATCTAAACACAAAACAGCTGATATGCACTTTGACGCTTTATCCGTTTTTACCCGGAGAAAAAAAAAGTCCGGGCTGTTTTGGGCAGGAGAAGAAGACACTTACGATCGAATACGTTCCAATTTTCGCTCTCAATTACCCATTTTGTTGAGTACGGGAATGATTTCTGGGCTATTTGGGCACCCGCGGGATCCCGCGTTGCGTACGGGAAAGAACTTAATACCACTGACACTGTATAACCATGAACCAAAAATACAAGATCACGCGGGCAGGAGAGTACCCCGTTAGCATCGCATTTAGGAAAAAAGTTTACCGATTTTGACATTAGCCGTTAGTTTACATTGCTTCGATGTTTATAATTTGGTGGTGGCTTTTTACTGCAATTTTCTTCATTTTCGCCTGTGACAACGTGTGTACACATAAGATAAAGAATAATTTTACTCAACGGCATGATGATAGAAGAATTTGCATAATAAAAATGATTATTCATGCGTTCCGTTTTCTCCGTTGTTTACCTCTTACAACAAAGATGGCGTCGAGATTTCGGCAGCTAGAAAATAACTTTTTTCTTTCTTTCCTTCCCGCGTGATCTTGTGTCTTCGTACATGCTGTATAACGATGGACACTGTGGTGACGCTAAGATGGCGCCATTGCGCTAAGCTAGTGCGCTGACAGCGCATGTGGTGCCGGAATTATTGAGCTAGCGATTCGAACATGGTTTAATGAGAAAAAGTGGCAACATTGCTTTTTCGCGTATACTGTTAAGCCCAAAATACAATAACGCAGTGACAGTGGCAGCGGCAGGTTTTCGAAATCAGTTGTTTTTTTACAGCAGTGGCAGCTAGCAGTACTGCTCAGTTTAGCCCAAATTCTAAATTCACTGCCACTGCCTTCATCGCAGCAAACTTCGCATGCTGAATTTGACATAAATGAAACGCAGCCAGCATCTGTTGATGTCACTTAAGCCTAAAATGCAACAACAAAAATGTAAACAAACAAAAGGGAATGTAAAAAAAAGCAGTAACTGACAACGCCGTATTGTGCATGATGCAATAATACAAGGTGGTATCAGTTGTGACAGCTCGATTTGACACTGCCTAAGCTCAGTAGAATGAGAAGAAAAACAGGACGAAATGAATCTCCATATGGGGGAAAAATATAAAATTTCACATTTTCTCATAAAAAAAAATTGCTTTTTTATAGTATTTTCGTTATGAAATGAAATAAAATAAGATAAAATACCTTTTGAAGAAAACAAAGTGTGTATACTGAGAAAAAATAAAAAACATGCAACTATATTAATGGGCAAAGAATAGTTAAAGAAGTAACACTGTTTCACGTAAATCAGTCAATATGGCGGAATTAGAGCGAGAAGTTGCCAACTGATAACACCTTGTATTATTGCATCATGGTATTGTGCATGATCCAATAATACAAGGTTAGATAATTATTGACAGCTGCGGTTTGACACTCCCTTACAAAAGTAGTAGAACAGTCCGCAAAGTAGGCAATTAGTAGTGAAACTCCTTTTGTAAATTCTAATGTATTTGCAGGAAATCTGGTATTTTAAACGAAATGTTGAACGTAATATTGATATATCTACGTAAATTACGTAATTTATGTGCTATTTAGCTGTATAAAAACTGCAAAATGACTCAAAATTAAAATAAGACTACTATGAGATTGATGTAAACATCCAATTTAAAAACAGTTTATGTTTTCATCAGTTAAATATGCTTCATATGCATATACATATAAACATATTGCGCAAAATCTTATACTTCTATTTCACACCATAGCTACACTGTTTCCATGTAAATTTGCAAAGAAGCAACACTGTGCCACTGCTAAGGGAGCGGTGCGAGAGAGACAACTGTCAGTTTATCGAACCTTGTATTATTGAATCATGGGTATTGTGTTTGCTGCGGTAGTGACTGCCAGTATTAGCAGTAACAGCTGATTTTATAAACTGTCACTGCCATTGCCACTGCACTATTGGGCCTCCGCACACTGGACTGCTCAGTCCGCCTAAAACCGGTTTTGTGTGGATAAC